ATAAAATAATAAGTCTAATAAAACTTCAAATTCTAGTACATAAAAGCACAAATAAGTGGAATATTTTCCTTCAAATAAACATGTGTACGAGTATATACAAACTTATATACGAGTTATATATATATAATTATATATATATCGTATTTATTATGTATTTGTGAACTGTACGTACACTTAATATTGTGAGAACCACTTTTGGAAAATCGTTCTTAACCATCGCACCGGTGTATACTTTTTATATTAATATAATAATACTGCTCAAATATATATACGAATATAATTATATATACATATATATGTACGTTAAAGTATATTCCATAATAAATTTCCCAATGGGGCAACTCATCTTAATCTTAACCGGAAATTTATGATTACTTTTTAAGGTCTTTCCTGTACAATGCTATGTACATTATCATATTGTGTACATTTATATTATACAGAAAATATAAATTCGCGATTTGTACATGTATATGAATGCCTATACATATATGCATTCATACACCTCTACTTACTCGTTTTAATGTATAAAATAAGAGGAAGGTAATCGACGAAAAACTCAATCGAAGGATAATATTTTGCAAAATCATTTCACTGAAAAAAAAAGTAATAATGTGTTTAAGAATTTTCTATGCTTACCGCTTAAATAAATTTAATATTGATTTACTTTGATTGAGGTTATGTGAGCAAAAAACAAAAAGCCAAAAAAAAACAGCACCACATGAAATACGATTTTTTTATTCTATTGTGCTTGCTGCAATAAATTTATATACAAGAAGAACCGTTATTGTTCTTATAATATAATAAATATTTTGAAAGCCGCTTTTTATTGTTTACTATTATGTCAATTGCTACTTCTCTTGTAGTATTTCACCTACAAAAATTTCATAGGTATAGACTCAAATTACTGTGTGAATGTCATTTTATGCTAATATCTTGGCACAGCGTATCAATAATGACATATGGAAGATAACAGAAACTATTGTATAATTGGTTTAGTAAATCAATTTATTTTTAACACAACTATATTTAGTTTGTGCAGCCGTAGTTACTAAGAGAAATAATGAGTATCAAAAATGAAGGTGCACAAAATGGTAAATTGGCTAACTCAAATTTATATAAACTATAAAATAAAACAGTTTGTAAACTATAAAAAAACCCAGGTTGCACACAAGTTCTTATAGTTTTTTCATATGCTAAATATTAAAATTAACATGAAAGGAAACTCTAAAATCAAAATAAAATTTATTTGAACATAAACTCATTCGAATTATATTTTAGCTTCTACACAAACTTATGATCCGAATGCAATGCTTTGATAATAGAAGTTTTGAAACAATAAAGTTTAATTCAATTCTCTTACTAATCACTCAAATAAAATCAAAAATTTCAATTACTTTCTATGATCTATCACAATTTTACTCAATTTAATACTCGAATTTCTTCAAGCCACATATAAGAAAATTTTAGGAATGTTTCGATTGCATTAAGTTTTGAATTCAGATTTAGTTTTATACTTTCCTCTAATTACAAAAATTCTTTTGCCCATACATGTTGCCCGTAATTCACCTGATTTTTTATTGATTCCTATACTCTCAATTTCTGTTAACAATTTTATATTATAAAAGTTCTTCTTTTAAATTAATTGTTGTTTTCAAAAATCAAATATTGCAAGATTATAAGCAACCATACCAAAAAATTTCAACATTTTAACTTTTATGATTTTTCGATTTTGAATCTCATTCCAAAATTTTTTGAATTAATTGAATAAAAACCAATTTAAAATTCTTAATTAGTTTTATGAAAATTAATTTTTCCTCGAAAAACTTAAAATATCCTTTTTAAATTAATCTCACGTTTTAAAAGATAATTTTTAACAAACACCTTTACTTTCTTTATTTTGTTTTTTAAACAGAATCACTCAATTAAATAAACTATTATACGTATGTATGTATGTACATACACATACATAATAAAATATTCTTAAAATTAATAAAAATTGTGAATATTTATTCATTCCTATTATACTGAACCCAATTATATATATGTATACATTTCAAATGTATATACATACATAATTGTTGAAAAATTTTTTAACAATTTCTTTAAGCCGGCCTATAATATAATACAAATAAATAAGATAACATTTACATAACACCCTCGAAAATTATATGGGCAAAAATATTTAAAAACAAAAAAAGTAAACCATTTTCACTTCAAAATTTCATTCGAATTTAAATTTTTTGTGCATATTTACATATTACTCTGGTAAAAATACCCTATATCCTTAGATAACATCCTTATTCCATTTGAATGGATAATAGTCATTCTCTTATTTTTATTTTCTTAACTTATAAAGAATAAAATTACTCACACCTATTTAATTCCCTTGTTGAAATATAACGGCACAAATTTAAAGGTATTTATTTGTATTTAAAACTAAAAAAACACAACAATAATAACAAATAGAAACAAATAACGGCAACAAATTGACAAGTAAGTCAATTTTTTTGTTTTTATTTTGTTCGTCTTCTCTTTTTTTTCTCTCTTTGAATTTCGTATGTATAACATTGAAGTTTTCGTCAAATATTGTATAGGGGGGTAACATTCAATATACCACGATCATTTAATATCCAAGACAACATCTGTAAATTAATGAAGGGTGAATAAAAAGAAAAAAAAACCTTAAAAAAAAATTATAATAATAACGGTAAATTGACTTACCTTGTGTGCCATTTAGTTTTGTATCCTGTTATTTACGTTTATTCACCTTTCCTTAACGTATCTTCATTTTACCAAAAGTTTTACATAAACAAACCCGAGCTAATATATTTTTTTTTTTTATATTCACATATACCTATACAATTTTGTATACCTATACGTACATTATATTAGTAATATAACGGTATTTTAATTTTAAGAAGGTGTAAGAAAAAATTTTTGTTACTCATTTGGTTAACGGTTAGTATACGTATAAATATGTATGCATGTTTATGTATATTTGTTTAAATATCCTTGTGTTTATTTATTTCACCTTTCTATATTTTGTTTTCGGTATTTGAAAGTTTTTGAAAGGATTTTTGTGTATTTAATGCGGTTCGTAACATCAGACAGGATATGAACATCAAGATTGTTTAATAAGTGGTGTTTTTATACATACAAAATGCGGAAATCACGGATAGAAGAGAAGAAAGAAAATCAGTTATTTGCGTTTTATTTCGATTTTTCTTTCCTATATATTTTTTTTTTATTTCGTTAACAGTTTTTTAACAAAGTGAAATTGAGCGTTAGAATGGAAGAAAAAAAAACATAAAAAAAAATATGTTAAAGTTTAAAGAGAATGAAAGCCGCTGTAAATACCGGAACATTGAAACAATTTTGTTATTTTATAAAAACTTTTGTTTTTTTCTTTTATAAGAAAAAAAACTCTAATATTGGCACACGACATTTATGTCATACAATAAAAGATTATAACCTAAAACGGTGTAAAAGTCAGTCTGAATTTATTTCCTTTTCTTAGAATTTAAAATTGGACTTCATTAAGCGAACATTTCTCATATTTCCCTTAAGAAATGCATTAACAAAAAAGTTTACAAATTTTTTGAAAATTTGAAATAAGTGTTAAATAAATATATTTTCACAATATTGTGAAACCCTTCCATTAAACAAATAAATCAATTGAAACTTTTAAAGATCTTTAAAAAATTATGAAGTTAGAATTAAAAATTTGGTACTCCAATTTATTTTACACAAACAGAAATATACACTTGCTTGGATTGCTTTTAATTCTAAATTGAGTATATATGTAAAATAGAGAACAAATAAATTATATATAAGAATTAATAATATGAAAACTAATGGCTTATTTCTGCTATAATTCAAAATTACAGATTTACGATCAATCCGTATCGGTATTCAATCTCGAAGAGTATATGCAATCCCATATAATTTGTCTATATGCTTTCAATCGTTATACAAAAATTATTTCAAATTAGTTTTAGAAGAAACTCTTTTAAGTAGAAAACTGGAAAATACAACAACATTCTTGGAAAATTTATCTTTTATCACACACTCAATAAACGAAATTCCGATATAAAGCTGAACTAAATGTCATGTGATCAAAACAAACAGTATTTGATTAAAGGGCAACCTTTTTCTAAAAAACACTTGTGTAAAATAAACGATATACAAATCGATATAGCATCTTTATGCTGACTATAGTAAGCAACACCAAAATTTAGAAAGTTTTATTTAAACTTCATATTTATTTACCCAATTTAACATATTAAAATTTCAATATTCTTATTATACGTACCACAAACATTTGCTTTTTTTTTAACAAATCGGTTAACTAAATTTTGCTAAATATTAAATAAAAAATCCTTCAGCAATCATTCTTTTTCAGAAAACTAACTTAAGTTTTTTTTGTAGATTTTATTTTTACCTTTACCTTAAAATCGTGCCGGATGTGAATATTTGTTTAATTCTCAAATTTTATGTCAATTTTATATAACGCGGTATAATTACTCACAATAGCATTTTATTAACTTCCCACGGTACTGTTGATTACTCATACACCATATACACCAATAATAAAAAAAAAAATACGAAGAAGAAAAGAAAAAAACAAACTCTTGTGGAAGGAAGTATTTTGTTCTTCCTGATTTGATTACTTTACCTTGTTTAACATTACCTTGAAAGGAAGTAAGGGTAAAGAAGGGTAAAAAGAAGCACAAAACAAAAACCACTTACCGTTTGAAATTTTTTGTGGAAATTTTTTTTAATGTTTTTTTACTTACCAAACTTTGTTTTTTTTATATTTTCAAAATTCTTATTTCCCTGCGTTTGTTTTTTGTTTTTATAATTTTCTTTTCTTATATTTGCCGCTCAACAATGAGCGAGTGAGAGTATAAAAATAATTTTATATTATATTTTGAAATTTAAAGAGAACGCAAATGAAAGAAAAATTAAAAAATTTTTCATTTTTTTTTCTTCTTCTGCAGATCCTTTTTGGTACTCCAGAATTTGTTGCCCCAGAAGTTGTAAATTTTGACTGTATATCTTATGGGACCGATATGTGGAGTGTTGGTGTTATTTGTTATGTACTGTAAGTATATTCCCTGTTTTTTTTTTTTGTGTTTAAATTAAATAATTTTATTATTTTTGTTGTTTTTTTTTGTTTTTCTCTTCTTCAAGCTTTTAATTTTATTATTTTTATTTGTTAATTTACCTGGAATATGCCAACAAAGAGAATTTTATTAATTAGAAATAATTTTTCTCTTTTTGTATTTTGTTGTGTGTTTTTTTTTTCAAGAAAAACATTGCAAAAATTTTCAATATTAAAAATAAAATGCCCAAATAAAGTAAAAGAAAAAAAAGAAATAAAAAAAAACGATGTTAAAAAACTAAAAATTTCAAATTAAATATTTTGGTCACGATCAGAAAATTTAATTATTTTATTTATTGTTTAATTAATTTCATACAAGCTATTCATAGAATAATTCTCAAATTTTTCCTATTTCAATATTTTCGGAAAATTCATTTAACAAATTTAAAATTTAGTATTTAAATTGATTTTTTTCGTACATGTCCGTATTTAAATATTTTAAAAACTAATAAATTTAGCGTTTTCAAAATTAAATTTTGAATTCAAAATTTATTAATGTTATTACTCTAATGAACAATAATAAATAATGTTAGTAAAATGTGAATGAGAATGTCAATGATTTTTCTATATGTAATCTGTAATTTGGTCAGAGAGTATATAAGTCATCAAAATGGTTTGAAATATTTTCAAATTTGTTTGGGGTTCCTCTCATTTTCGAAAGGGTATATGTGATATTTCAAATTCATATATTTTGCAACATAATTTTTTAAAATTAAAAAAAAAAGAGTTTAAGTAATTTGATACCGTTTTGCGTTATTGAGCTGTAACTGAATTTCTAAAACTGTGTTGCGTTTAGCAATTTGCTTATTAAGATTATTAGTAATTTTGTTATAAGCAATCTTAACAAATTTAAAGCTATTAACAAATAAGTTAAATATAACTTTAGGAAATTACGAAAAAAAGCATACTGTATTATGTTATCTGTCTTTATTATTAAATTACAAATTCCTCGTCATTTTTTAAAAATTTACGAGATTGAAAAAATTCCGTGCATTTAAAGTATCTTGATCAAAAATAAATGATCATTTTTCTGTTTCGCATGACTGGCACATACAGGAGCGGAAAATAATTGAATATTACTAAAATGTTGAAGAACTTAAATTGTTAATATTCTTCAATGAAACTTTTTTCTATTTAAATATCCAGAATATTTACGAAAATTATAAAAGTGCTCAGGTGAAATAAAAGTTCTAATAATTTCATTAAAAAAAATAAAAGTTCATTTAAAACACGGGGCCTTTCAATAAAATGAAAACAATAAACTTATGTAAAATATTTTTAAAAATCTAATTAAAAACAAAAAAAAATCAAAGAATTTTTCAACTTCGTTTCAACATTTTGTATATATTTACATATCTGATTTATATATGTATATATAAACTACAATATGTTTGAAATTTAATTAAAGTAAAAATTAAAGTACTTTTTTCAATCAATTAAAGAGAATCTGCTATTACACAGACATACTTCAATATACAACACCTACAATGCGTTATAAGATATATTAGATCTGTATTAGCATAATATGAAAATTTTTATATCATAATAGATTTAAATCTTATTAAAATTTCTCAGTTAAATAATGAACCCCTATAGGATATAACACTAATTTCACTTATTCATTTTCAGTTATCTTAATTTCCAGAATTACGATCATCCAAAATACAATATACAAACTGTTGTAACACAAACTAAAGCTTTAATAGTGATCCTCAGTAGCTCAATAATTTGAGTCGAATTCAATTGACCATTTTTGAAATTAATCATTTTTTTGAAAATATAAATTTCAGTAAGAATAAAGCAGTAATAATTTTTTCGCTCATAAATTTACTCCCGTTTCTATACTCAAATTCAATTAGTATGCAATCGAAATTAAAATTTCTTCCTAAACATATGCAATATACGAGTAATATGTTCGTTAGGGAATATGTATTTCAATAACAATATTATTTTTAATTCAAATTCTTAAGAGAAATGCACTACTTTGCAAAAATAAAATGAATGAATACGGTTAACTGCACGTTGAATCAACTACATAAATAATTCATTTGAGTCACACATAATTTGAGAGAAATAATTTATTCAATTTCTGAGAGAACACCATACCCAAAATTACTTTTAATCATTTACAATTTTGTGAAAGTTATGTAAGTGAATCACCTTGTTAAAACCTTAAAAACGAATGCAATGTACTCAAGATTGTACAGAATATGTTTTATACTTTATAGTTTCAAACAACACAAATTCTTCTCACTCCCTTGACTTTTCCATTTTTATGATTATTTATCGACATAACCCATACTTGCTTTTATATAAAAGGTTTCAAAATATATTTATGATGTACGCGCGTTTACAAAATTTTAATTTAGTTACAAAATTAATTTTAAAAAACAAGAAAAAAACGTTATTTTATAAGTTTTTTTTTTTGCAAAATGATGATCGTAAAAAATTTATGTACAAAACAAAAGCAAACAATAAAAAAATAAAAAATTTTTTGTAAAAGAATTAAAATTTGGGAGAAAAATAACATCTGACAAATTTTCTAATTTCAAGGACATTTTGTCATTTTTAAACTTCAACAAAAATATATGAATGAACTATAAATATAAAAAAAGCCTTTAAATTTCAATAAATCAAAACTTTACAATCTTTATGTACTTCATTCTTCGCCTTATGAGTGTGTGTCTAATAAATATGAGTTCTGTTAAAAATTCATTTTCCATATTTATGTTTTATTAAATTTCTTCCCCCCGGCCCCACTGGAATCTTTCTTATATAAATTTTCCGGTTATTGAATTTTTACAAAAACAAAAAAAAAGCAAAAAACCTAAAAATTCCGTTGGAAAATTCTCATGCCCTCTTTAACATGAAATTTTCTTCATTTCCTTTAATTTTATTACGCAGTTAAATAATTTTCTATTTAAGTAATAAGCATGCTTTGGAATACCTAAGGCAACAATTAAATTGCACGTTTTCTCACAAGATATGAAAAGTAAATCAAAAAACTGTAGTAGAGGCGAGTTCTTCAATAATTAAAGAAAATCTAAAACAGTGAAATAAATTTTAATAAATAAAATGTAGAAATTCTTTTCATCTTTTCCATTCTCTTCTTTTTTCTTTCCTCTTTAAATTTTAAATGATCTTAGAAACCGTAAAACTGGAAAAGCTTTTTTTATTGTGGTTATTTTAATGGACCCCTAAAAAGGGCTTATTGGGTTCTCTTCATATACTGTATTTGTGTTTCTTTTTCTCTCCCTCTTTATCATTATTTAATAATAATAACAGTAATAAAAAAGAAGCAGAACGTTGACTCTTCTCTATATGCTGACTTTTCTATAATTAACAATTAAAGTCTTTAAATAAAAAATTCAAATTAGTGCTTTCGTTTCGTTCCGATCGTAGGATTAAAGGTACTTTTTGTTCAACAGTTTAGTTCTAATTAATAATATGCAAATAAGAAGAATAAAATGTACACTTTGCAAAAATTGTTTGACATGTCATTATTAAAAAATTTCAAAAGCTTGAAATTATTGAATTGTACAGGGTGGAATTTAGTAGGAGCCTCTATGGTTATCTATAATACTTTGTCTTACGTTACGCTGCGTGTTAACCAGAAATACACGTCTTACGGTCTGACCACAAATACATGACGTCTTACGTGTTAACCAGAAATATTTATGAAGTTTAGCTTTTGTTTTTTATTACCAACATTTTTAATTAATTTTTTATTATTTTTCATACAAACAAATTTAAAATTGGATCTTATTTTTTTTTTTGAACTTCGCTTTTTAATAAAATTTTTATTTCCAACTTGTTTTTTAACAACGATAACACTAAAATTCGAATTTTCAAAAAGAGAAAAAGTTGAGCATATTTTGAACACAATGTAGGTACATATGTATGTATATAATTTTACCATGAAACCATGTATTGTATTAAAATTTAACCATAACCAAAAATATTTCCAAAAAAAAAAAGAAAGCACAAAAAAAAACTGAAACCACAATACTTAAATAGACATTTCATCATCATAATATTTTGTTTTCGTATACAAAAATTTATAACCAAAGTTAACATTGTCCGAGTTATTCAAACAAACAAACTTTTTGGTTTTAATATAATTTTCTGTTAATAGAAAATCCATTTTCATTCTATTATTTAAAATAAAAGAAATAAAAAGAATATTACAAAAATAGTACAAAGTGTGTCAGTTTCATGTACATATTAATTGTCCACAAATCTCGAGTTTCACTCATAAATAAGATATTTGAGAAATTTAAAGAACATACATATGTATATATATATATTGTATATGTATATGTATTAGTTTTCATGTATATTTACATATTTGTCAGTATTTAGTTCAAAATGACCAACTTTCTAATTCTAATATGTTTGTTTGTTATTAATTTTACTGCAGTTTAAATAGTAAGTACGAAATATTTTAATGTTGGCTTCTAAATTTTCTAAAGCAGCAAATATGCCTTTCTTCCTAATTGGTATATACAAACATACATACAAATATAAACATAAAAAGGTCCTTTATATAATAATCATTTAATTGGAATTATTTACAAGAATTATCTCCACAGAATTCCCTATTCATTGGCTGCACACTCTCTACTTCTACATATTTAATTCGAATTTTGAATTCGAATTTCGAGGAAGGTTTTTAATTCTCCGCAAAAAAGTTTAAAATCGTATTCTAAAACGCTTTTTGAAATATTTTTTAATTTAGATTTGTAAAATTCGTTCACTATTCCAAACAGACAATATGGCAAAATCATTGCTGAAACATTTTATATTTTGAGTTATAACCACATTTTAACCGCATAAATAATAAATACCCTATATATTCATCTAAAAATAAATTTGAAAAAAATGGTTACTAAATTTATTCAAGGTTCTCTTTCAATATTTTATTTATTTTAAAGTAAAAAACAAAAAATCAAAATTATTCAAATTTGACCCAACATTATACTTGAAGGTATCAGAAATATTTATACAAAAATATTATGTTTATTTTATTACGTCAACTTAGTTTATAGAATTTTGATATTTTATGACAATATAAATGCAATAAAATCTCAAATTTTATCAAGGAAAAATTTTCCGGACTTTTAAGGACCGAGTAATAAATTTAAAGATATATACTTGACATTACCAGTGATTACACTTAAAGCTAAGTAAATAGTTAACAAGTGTATGCATAATATTCACTGTCGGACACTGAAGTATCATTGCCGAAAATATTTTCTCCGTAAAATTTTGAAATTCGATTATATAATTTACATATCGCCTTATAAATTCATATAAAATAAACACAATGGCACTGCAATTATACTGTATTCCCTAAATCTTGTATGTACGGCAATAAATTAAATAATTTTAATAATAATAATTGTTAAAATTGCAAATTTACGCGAAAAGCGGGGCCATTGTCAAAATTTTGCATTACAAACGGACATCGAAAGCGACAGCAACAATCAATCTTCCTGATTTATTTTATAAACTGGCATTATAATAAACTGAAATAAACCAACCTTACCATGATTATTTATTAAAAAATAAAATGTGTATTATTTATTTTCTGTTAATTAAAAAGAATAAAAAAAAATCGTTTTTATATATTTAGTGTTGGCATAATAATAATTATTTGCTTTGTATAACATTCTGTACAATTTATATAAAAAAAAAATTTTTAATTTAAAATTAATTTTTTTTTTCTAATATCCTTTTTGTTTTCTCTCTCTTTCTATTTTTTTATATACATACAAAAATATAATAATAATAAGGTTATCAGGTTTATCACCATTTATGGGTGAAACAGATCTTGCTACAATGGCAAATGTTACAGTTGCTAAATATGATTTTGATGATGAAGCATTCAATAATGTGTCACCAGAAGCAATGGATTTTATATCAAAATTATTAGTTAAAGAACTCGAGTAAGTTTAAATTAATTTTTTTTTTTTAATTATATATGTAAAATTATATGTATATATTGTTTTTGAATATTTGATTTAATTCCTTTTTGATATCAATTATAATTAGTTTTTCAATTATTATTTTTCTAAACAAAATTAATTCCCGGATGAAAACAGAAAAAAAAAACATAAGTAACGTACGTTTTTACGTGTATTGAATATCCAATTATTTCCAATTCCAAATAAAGTAATTTAAGCGGAAAAGGATTAAAAATTTTATATTTTTTTTTCCTTGCAAACATTCACAATATTGGTATTGCTATAGCAAACAATACATTCAAGTATTGAGCAGGAAAAAAATTTTAAAACTTCAACTTTATACAATGTAATTTACTAGCATGAAAGTTAATGCTATTATAAAGTTATTGCATGCGTTGAGTAAAAATTCTGGGAAAATTCGAAATAGCGAAATTATATACGATTTTAATTTGATAAAATGTAATATTATACACTCTGTCAGTTTTTACTCTATTCATTTATGGTGAATATTCTCTTTAATAATAATTGGAAAAAAGAGAAAATTTAGAATTTAGAAAAAAGGTTATAGTTTAATGACGTTGAAATGTAATATAACAGTATTGTGTTGTGATCATTTTATTTCAGAGTTAAACTTACCTACAAGAGAGATTTTACTTTGCTTTTTGTCGAAATTGTTATACGCGTATTAATAAGTTAATTATATTTGTAAATTAATTAAATTTAAATAAAAATTCATTCCAATAGTGCCTTCTTTTTTTTCGTATTTTTATTTGAAAATTGATTCAAAAAATGTATAACCTAATTTTAAAGATCGTGATAGTTTCCAAAATCATATGCCTACTTTTATATAAAGCCTCTTTTAAACTCAAAGATTAACTCTCCAAATCTTTGATATTTCGTTTTTTTAAAGGTATATCTACTGAATTAAGGCCAAAAATTGCGTGAAAACTGTTGTAACATAAATTTGTTATTTTCTTATATTTTGAATATTTATAGTGAACGAATGTCAGCAACAGAAGCATTAGAACATAAATGGTTAAAGAGACCTCCTAAACCAGCGGTTAGTCCAAAACCAAATATAGTGCCGCCAATAAAGTTTAAAACATCACCACCATCACCAATGACTATTACAGATGATATTAAGGAAAGTCTAAATGAAGTAAGTATATAAAATTAATTAATTATTTTTAGTTTTTCTCTTTTAATTTATAAATTATTGTTTTGTTTTTTTTTAAATATTAAAACACAATTAATTATTTAAATTTAATTCTAAGGCAACTTAAGACAACTTTAGAATTCAACTTTAAAATTTACTATTTTTTTTTTTGTTTCTGATACAACACTTGTATAAAGTTACAAATTTTTTGTAAGGAATTTTTTAAGAGAAACATGAAGATTTTACAAATTTATATACAATTTATTTATAAAAGAAAAAAAAAAACAAATATACAACATTAGTTTTTAATATTCAGCATTTCTTAGCATTCTATTGTTTACTTTATACTACAGTAAGAAATTACACCGTAAGGTATGCAATATTTAAAATAGTTTTCTTACAACCCACTGGTATAAAAAAAAACGCAAAATTCGAAATTTTCCCCTCACAAATTCCTTTTTAGTTCATGCAATTAGAATTACTAATAATAAAAATTGATTGTAGAAAGTTTTACATGCAGTTTGCTTTAAGCTCTCAATTAGAGAAGAATGTTAAAAGGCAGAAAGGTAGGCAAGAAATGCAACTTAATTGCAGTACATACGTTTTAAATTCAAAATTATGTTCGAACAATGAATTTTTTATATAGTGAATAAATTGAAAAACAGGAAACAAAATAAAAATTTCTCTAAAGCAAACTGTTTGTAAAATTTTAATTTTAAACTTTGTATAATTCGTTTAATAATCGAAAATATTGTTTTTTTAAGAAAACTAATTAAATATTGTTGAATTTCATAAATATTTTCATTATATACTCTTATAATATTCATATTAATTATCTATAGCAGAGATAGATTTTCACATTTAATGTAATTTTTGATTTGATTTTTGATCTCCATATTAAAATATAATTTTTAGTAACCCTTAAAATACAGTAGTATAAATTAATTTTTTTGGCTATTTATTAAAAAATTTTATAATCACCAAATCAAACATTATTACTTCATTTTGTATTACCTAATAGCATTTTTTATAATTTTGAAAAAAAACAAAATTAATTTTAGAAAAACCCAAAATAAAATCAGCAGGGTCCTAAAACACAAATCATTTTTAAGCCTTTTTTTAATTATTTATTTCAAAAATTTGTAAAATTCCTGTTTCACCAACTAATTCTAAAAGAATTTCACCAAGAACACTATTATTATTGAAATAATGATATAAAAAGTGATTAGCGCAGTATGAGCGTGAGTTCAGTTGCATAATTCATATATACAATAAGATCATTTTAACCATGACCTAAATTGGAAAAAGTTATTCAAAATATTATATCTGTTATATATGTACGTTAAGCATAAAAGTATAACAATAGAAATTTTTTAATAATGCGTCTATAATCATATGTGATGCTCATACGATTATTTTAATAATTGAAGTTTACAATTCAGCACATCTTTACACTTAAATAAGGATTCTGCATAATTCTCACCATGGTATCACGAAAAAAACACAAGACTTTAGCTTCTGTGCTATTAAAAAATCTTAGCAGTTTTTGTTATTACTTTCCATGTTAAAATTAGTTAAGCTCATCATCTGTTTAAATAAATTTAAACAAAAATTAAACTTTACATGTTACGAGTACTTCACATTTAACACGCCTGTGATTACCACAATAGCCAAGTTCTCAAATTTAATATAATTTAATAAATACTTTATAAGGTTTCGTATTTTATATATTTAATTGCTTTACATATAATCAATGTAGTATTCTGGGTTTTTATCAGAATATAAATGTGGATTCCAAGCAACAAAAACGCATGTTTAAGCCAATTCACCAAAAAATTTCCCCGTCATGTTTTGAAAATTTTCCATAGAAGTTTCAATAAAATTTGTTTCTACCGCCATTCTCTCTTTTATGTTCTTCATATGATCTTTTATTTTAGAAAATTTTATTTGTGACAAGTTTTTATTGAGCAGAAATCAATCTAAAACTCAAAAAATTGAAAATAGTACTATTGTTACCAAAAATGGTATTATACAAAATCTGTTATACGCATAAAATTTTGAATTAAACTAAAATATCTTATCGAATATTGCACTTAATAAAATTTCGAATTTAATTAATATCATTTACATTACGAGTATTTCAATACACACATATGTACGTAATTGAAATTTAATTAAACAATTATTAAATTCAATTTATTGTTCTTAAAAAATATGCAAATAATATTAAGATATATATGATTATATAATATTAATTCTTGAGCAATGCGAACAAATTGTCCGATTTCGAAATTTTATAAATTATAACAAAATTAAATATAGAGTTAATAAATAAATAGTTATACACATTACATTAGACTATTAAACCAATATTGTTACACATTCAATTTACATAATACACCATTTTCGGTGCATTCAAACATTATAACATATTTAATTTAATAAAATAAATTAATTTAGTTGTTAAAATTTCCCCCATAATAAAAATTTTCTTTAATCCTATACCATATAATTGTTATACTTTTGATATGTATAATTTTATAAATTGTATATGTATTATGGTTTTCGAATATCCTTTTGCAATTTAAATTAATCTTGAAATTTAAAAATAATATATACACACATAATATGAGTATTCGTGCATAAGTATACATGACATAAAACGAAATGTCTTTTTGAAAATTTAATATTGGCAACATTAAATGCACATTTACACATGAGTATTTCTCTGTACATACATATATGTAGTATGTATATAAAAAATTCAAAAAGTTACAAAATAAAATTATTCAACATTGTTTAAGGTTATTTTTGTATTATAAAAACTTCAAAACTTTTTCTTTATTACATAAATTTTGACTTTAATCATCATATTCTGGAAATTTACATTCATAATGCAAAAAGAAGTGAAATTTATCCTTAAAATTTACCTAATCTCATATATAATAAAAATTTCGAATGAAAAAATTATTCTTTTACAATATTCTTTAAATAAAGAACTTACCATTCTCTGTTTGAACATACACAACAATTCACACATGATAATATTACATATAACACATAAGTATGCTCACATTGTCACATAATATAAATATTATAGAAGTAAAAATTTAATTAAAATATAACAATTTTCAAATATATTTTTTTTTATTTGGAAAAAAAAAAGAAAGAGTTCTCAGCTTTTGTAAAATTCACACAAAAAAGAAAAAAAATGTACACACACAATAATATGAAAAATTATTACGTGCTAGAATAACCATTAAGGACTCTTTTTTGTTTTGTTTCTTTTTTAAATCCTGCTTTTTTTTTTGAATTTAATAATTTCTCTTTTAAAATTTCATTGAAATTTATTTTTTATTAGACAATAATATTTTATTATAGAAATTTTTATATATATATATATATATATATACATATATTTTATAAATTTACATATTTTTTTTTTTGTATTATTTCAGAAGGAATTAGAACAAACAAAGGATAACTTGAAAAGTTTCATTGAAAGATGGGAAGAGCATCCAAATAGTCCATATGTCTTTGATTCTGAATCTAATTTAATTGTTCCATTAAGAGATAACAACTCAGACAGTATTAATTCTTCAAGAGGTAAAACCATATTGTTCTATTTTTTTTCACAAAATAATCTTATATTTTTTTATATTCGCTTTTATTTTTTGATATCTTTGATATTGAAAAATTTTTATATTATTTCTTAATATGGTTGTCATTTGTACGCCTGTACATCAGTTTGTCAGTTAAATCATATTCTCGTTAACAAAACTTCTTTTCAAAAAATTTACTTTTATAAAGAAATAATTTTTTTAATGATTTTCTTCGAAATTCTTTAATAAATGTTTATTTAACACTATGTTCCATACTCTGTTCTATTTTCCACTTTACTCCAAGAATATAAAATTGTTATATGGGAAATGGGCTCTTTTACAAACCTCAATAATTTCCATCGATTTTAATATTTTCATATTTTTATTATCATATAAGGATATTTGTTAAATATCCATAATATTATATTTATAATTACATATTCATATATAATATGTGTATTTCAAATTTATGAATATACAAAATTTATGTATAAAATAATTTATAAGGGGTGCTACTGAGCATTTATTTTGTTTTTGAAATTCGTTTTGATTCGTTTGTTTTGCTTTCATTTCGTTTAAGATTTTAAGAACGCTACCAGCCTACAATAACATATTTTAATTTTTCTTTCAAATTTTCTGAATATTCTGATTACAATAAGAGTATGACTTTAATGTTAGCTAGCCGTTATGTTGAATTACACACAAGTCGGGACTTCAAATTCGAAAATATATTTGAGAAATCGAACTAGTACAAATTGTAATATGAAATATTACTCAGTTGCAAAAATTTCGGTACCAAATTAGATAGTCTTTCTTAAAACTGGACATTTTTGTAAGCAGTTTTAGGACACGACTGTAAAATATGATTTAAGTACTGGCATAGATTTATACTGTTGCATACGAATCCTATTCGATATATTATATGCTAATGGAAATTAAATTTTAATAATATTATAAAAGAATTTCTTATACAATGTTATACAATGTATTCGTTACTATTTTTCCTCATCCTGGTAGTATTTTCTCAAAAAATTACATTATTGCATATTTGTATGTATATTTCTGAATATCTATTGCCGCACTCATTCTGTACAGCCCTTATATACTTGCAAATATAAGAATATAAAAAAATTTTACTTTTGCAATAAAATTATAAAAAAAAACAAGTAAAGATTAAAAGTCAAAGAATGATTTTCTATAAAAATACATAAAATTTTTCGAGAGGGATCTATTACAAAAATTCAAAAGCCAATTTAATTAGAAATATTGGAATCAATTTTTTTTTTGTTTTTGATTTTAATTGAAAATTAAATAAATATATGTATGCAATTAGAAATTCTTTTAAAAATATTTAAATACTTAGTTAAATTTTAAAATTTAATAAAAATTTTTACTTATTTTTTATATTTTCTATGACATTTTCCTATATGACCCACACAAGAGAGAGTAATGCATTATGGAATTGTGTACATTATTATTTGCTGTATCGCAACACAAACATATTTTGTTAAATAGTAAATGTATTGACTTGCCAGTAGTAGAAGCCAGTAAATACTTAACATTAATTTGATAGATGAAGAAAATTGTTTGAAAGCACGTGCACCAATTTTTGTTCGGCTTTTTTACTTAGACTTAAATTAAGTGTGAATTGATGCGTTTTTATTATTACATTTCTCAAGAAAACTCTTGAATTTTCATTTTACAATTAATTTTTGATTATTGACATAGCCGAATATAATAATCCTAAAAATTGTAATATTTTCTTGTACAGTTATGGGATAAACCTACGATTAACTGTTTTATAGAACTTATACTTAAAAGTATCTAATGCTCAAATGTGTAGTATAAAGTCTTTCAAAAGCACTTTTAATCGTCACGGTCCTATATATTTAAAATAAAAGAATACTATAGATTCAAAATTTTTTACAGAATGCTTCTTAAACCCAAAAGGTTATTGTTTCTGTCGAAGTTACAGTAATAACCAAAATAGCTTCAATATTTACGAAATTTTTTTTTAACTATAAATTTTTGTTGTTCGAAATTTTTCAAAATTTTATCACAAAAATTATTTTATTAATTTGCATAATATTCATTTTAATTTTTTTCTTCAAGTCTACTTAATGAAGTCCAAATAATATTTTACATCAAAACACAGCAATGAACGCTAAATAATTTTTACTTAATGCTAATCCTTTTTTAATGCGATTATTGAAAATTCGAGAAAATTTCGTGACCTTCAATATAAAATTATAATAAAAAAGCATTTTTTTTTCTGCTTCTTCTTCTTCATTAAAAATCAGTTTTCTGTATAATTTAAAGGTACTCAAAAGAAGCTGACTGAAAATACATTTTGGCACATTCTGAATTGAAAAGAAAAATATTTAAAGAGCATCTAAATTTTAAATGATTTCTCCTCCCCACCATATATTCCGTTTCCATTGAGTTTTGTCATTATTTTCTTACAATTTTTCTTTCCCTAATGAAATGGTTGCTGCTCCTTTTTCCATTTTGATTTTTGTTTTGTTTTTTTTTGTTCCAGCGTATAAAAACGGAATTTTCTACAAAATATTAAAAAATCATAAATTTTTCACGCGAATAACAAATTAAATTGCTTCATAAATTTTCAATATAAATTCTTTTTTTTTTTTGTTTCTTGCGCGACCACATTTTTATGCTACGTCGTCTTCTCATAACATTCACAATCCTAGAAACTGACACTTTCCCAATTGTTTTTTTGTATGAATAAAGGAATTGTTTTTTTTTTTACTTTATCCTCAATGTACTTTTAGGAGGGAAAATTATATGCTAAATTTTTTTTTTGTACATTAAGGCTTAGCTGGTATTTCTTTTGATTCAATTTAAATCGTTACATTGAATTTGAACCTTTTATTTGAAACAAAAAGAACTCTGTATAAATACGAGTACATGCATACATACAACAATGATTGAAAGCAATAAACGCAATGTACCAATTTAACATTCCTTCATTATGGTATAGTAAGTAAAGGTGAAATGATTTGTGAAGGTATTTGTGATGGTATTTTATTATAAAGAGAAAAGAAATGATTAAGAGATTGTCTTGGAAGAGAGGGTACTATGTGGTTAGGTTATTGTAAGTTTATTGCATTAGACAGTATTGAATACAAAATGGAGATCTCGAAAATTATCTTACGGTTATTTTTGGCATAACTGTAAAAAAATAAATGGTTATAAATGTTTTATGTAGGAAAACGCACTTGAAAATTTGTTACAACTTGATTCCCTGCCATTTATCGTTAAGTTTTTGCTTTTTCAGAATTTCACTCACGCTTTGACTGTCTCGGCTGGCTGTGGAAGAAAACTAGCTTCTTTCACATTTCTGAATTTGTAGAATTAAAAAAATTTGTGTAGTTTTAATACACTAAAAAAGGCTGTTTTGGAACTTCGAAATGGTATAACATTTAGACGGGAAGATAATCAGTTTAAAATTTTCTATTTAAAGGATATAAACAAACGGACGGGCAGACAAACTGAAGCTAATAAGCACTCTTTTCTAATTTTTTCTGAGAGATTCATTTTCAATTTATTTTTTAAGAGCATTTTTGCAAATAAATTTTGTCTTGAGCGTCCAGTCTTATAAAATACGTTCATGAAAATGGATTTTAAAAATTAACATATGTGGTGGACCTATTCGGAAAAATACTCTAAAACTACAAATTTTAGCAGAAGGCAGAAGAGTTCCGATGAATCAGTTTACATTTAAATTTAAAAAAAAAAATATACGTTCCATAAATTAAAACTGCAAAATCTGCAAAACTATAGCACATTTGACAAATTTCGGTTACAAAAAAAAAGCGTCTTCGAAGATGTTACTTTTGCTCAAATTTCATTTTTATAATTGAGAACATGTCAGATTGCAAGTAATTGCAAGTAAGCAATTTTTATTAATTAATATTTGCATTTGTTTTAAAATTTTTCTTGCTACTAAAACTGACATTTAAAACGTTTGTTTCATTTAAGAAAAAATACGAAATTACGCACCCTCTAAAATGTAACCGAAATTGAATATAAAATTATTATATACACAAGAGCATATTTAAAATACGTAAATTCTGGTATTTTGTATTTAGAAAATCCTTTAAAAAATCTATGAAATCCATAATAAAGTTATGAGTGAAATAAGGATTAAAGCAAAGCTAAAAACTACAAAAATATAACCGAAAAAATAATCTCCTAATGGAATAAAAAAAAAATAACAAAATTTTCAAACTTTCATAAAAATTGGGATAAAAATACACACAGACCTACACATAATATAGGTTCCAACCAAAATTTTTCACTTTATATAATTCAACTGGCATGGTCCCAATTTTGTTCTTAATTTTTCTCTATTTTATTTTCAAATTGAATAAAAAAAAATCTTGCCCCATTCCATTCCATTTCATTATTTTCATTATTTCTTTTTTACACATTTAATCAAACGTCTATAATTCACCTAGCTTTTCGCTGCTCTCATTCAAAGCATTCCCATATGTTTTCCTTCATTCTAAGCAAAAAAAAAAAAATAAATCATAAAATAAAATGAAATAAAAATGTTCAGGTGATTTACAAATATTTTTCCTATGAAACCGATGGTATTAAATTTGATGATTTTATGGAAAAATGACGTGTAAAAGCACAGTATTTTGAGCTCGTCTATAGTACATAAACTCATACAATCGTACACATATAAACATTCATGCATATGAAATATTAAATTAGAAAAAAAATTATATACATGAAGTTACTAAGCTTACAATTTTATGAAAATGTACCCTTTTTTCTCTCCATTAATAAATTATACGCTCATATATGGATGCTATTTTTTATTATTCAAGTATTTTGAGTATGTGCGTATGTATATATGAAGATATTCTTGTGTAAAAATAAGTTTAAAATTGAAATTTTAAGTTCATTACGACTTGTTAAGTTTTTTGACATTCACCTGTGTTGGTATTAGAATATTTTTTAGCTACCTACATACTTCCTGTATATTATAAATTAAAAACAATGAAATCATAGGTTTAACATGTCCTTTTTTTACCTATACTTACCTTTTCACGTAGGTATATAAAATTATTATATAATTTTATTTGCTTTTTTTTTTCTTCATTCAAATTGGATTACAGAATTTCGATTTTTACAATTTATTCTTGGATATAGAACCATAGTGTATCCGAGATCATATATAGCAAAACCCATATAGAAAAAGAATCATAATGAATAATCTAGACTAAAAATTATAAAAAAAAAAATAAAAGAAAAATTATCCTGAAAAAGGATAATTTTTCCTTTAACTTTTTCTACACAACACAAACTTCCCTTTTTCGTGGTATTCTGAAACTTTTATTTTTTTTTTTTGCATTTTTTTGCCCCTTTATTGACTTTTGTATGAAAAAATAAAAAACTCATACAAATATCACTTAACCGGAGCTACAGGAGGTGAAGCCTTACCAAAGGAAACAAAACAAGAGAAAAAAAAGGATTTTCATTATCATGTATGGAAAAAGTTTTATGTTTTTATAAACAATTCCCCAAATTGCAAGGATTAAATTAAAAAAAAAAAAGAAATGGGGTAGTTAAAAAGGTTAAAAAACAGTAAAAAAAAAATCCTTTTTAAATAATTCTCCATCTTAATTTTTAACTCTAAAATTAGATTTTTATATAGAAAATAAAATTTATTTAAATCCTATAGGGTCAATAATAGGTTCATAAAAGGTCCATTGTTCATTATAGTTTTATAAGGTTGAAATTAAAGTGTTTAAATTGAAATTTAGGATGATGATTTTAAAATCATTGTTTATACTTCATAATAAAATAAAAATATTCATTAAAATTTATTGATTTTTTCTTCTTGCTCTTCTAAATAAAATATTAAATATTTAATAAAAATAGAACATATACAATAATTATTAATTTCTTTGAATTTTAGCATGTTCTCCGTCACCATGTGAATCAATAGTTAGTTTAACAGAACAAGAAATTAATGCAAGTAAAGAAGATTTATCAAATAAAACATTAACACCATCATCAACAACAACATCATTCAATTTACAACGACAATCTAGTTTAATGGATAGTTTTAATAGTGATAACGATAATTTAACACCATCAATTCATAAAACTCAAGAAATCGATAATGATTCATCACAAAGATTTAATCAAGATTTTAAAGAATATTTACAATCATTTGAACGTCGTAATTCTGATACAAATTATTTATTAGGACGTAAATCTAGTGGTGAAAGAGTTAATTTAGCTGATGAAATTAAAAAATTATCAGAACATTTATTAATGTTAGCTGAAATTAATAATAAATTAGGTCAAGAAGATGACACTAGTGATGATAATAAATCTGTTAATTTAAAATCTAATGAAAATAATAAAATAATAAAAGAATCTAATGATGATATAACAGAATTTAATATAGTTTTACCAAAGAGAAATACTCAAAATACTACAATGAATTATAATAAAAAACCATTAATTGAAAAACAAAAATCTTTAAATTCAGATCTTCCAAAATTAAAACCACAATTTGATCGTCAAAATACAATTTCATCAACTGCAACAAATGACAGATGGTCAGTAAAAACAAATAATTATACACTTGTAAAGTCTCCAACAATTACTAGTCAAATGGCAAATACTAATATCGTAAATAAAAATAAATCATCAACATCATCAACAATAAATAATAAATTAAATACAATAACAAGTAGACAATCAACATTACAATCTGAAGATGATGATTATTCAACATCTTCAACATTAAGTGTAGGTTCAGTTACAGCAAAAGATGATCCAAATCTTATTAATCACACTATTATAAATGATAAATCTCAATTATCTTGGAATAATGAAAGACGTTTATCTGATACACAAAATGCTGCTTTAACAATATCAAAATTCGTTCAAATATCGCAGGGTAAAGAGAAAACAACACAATCATCAATTGCACAACATTATAAAGAACAACAACGACATCAAGAACAACAATATCAACAACAAAAACAACAACAACAAAATAATTTAATAAATAATCGAAGAATTAGTACTCTATCAGTTCTATTACACCAATCAATTGATAATGTACCAAGGCTTACAAACGGTACTAAAGAATATGATGACCAATATGGAAAACAATCGAGACCATATTATCAAAATCAATATCAAAATGATCAATCAATTTTAATGAATGGAGGAGCACAAAGTAGTTCATCATATGAAACATCTTTAATAAATGATAATAAAAAAAATATTACTTCATCAAAATTCTCTCATATTAATAATGATTTAACGAAAACTATGACCAATGGTTATAGTGGTTATAGTAGTTCTACATCAACAAAACAAGTAACATCAATTAAAGAATCAATTGAAAATAATAAAGATCTAAGTGAAAATATTCAATCAGCTTCACATATTATTAATAGTGGTAGAACACAAAGACGAATGTCATCATCAATTGCTAGTATTTTTGAAAAATTCTCAGATAATAGTAATAATATGAACAATATTGATACAGATGAATTAAATTCAACAAATCAATTCCGAATAGGTGTACCATGGGCAATGCATACAAAGAAACGTACAAAGTTTCGTATTAATGAAACTAGTCGTGATGTACCAATTGGATCACCAAATAAACATCAAACATATAATTTAGAAGAAGCAGCAACACAAACTAAAGACTGTTTATTACATCTATTAGAAAAATATAATGATACTAAAGGTAAAAGTAGTATGAGTACTGGTGGTGGACATAGTGGCCGACATCAAAGTATAAGCGTTGATTGGAGTTTTTCGCAAAATTTAGAAAATCAAACAATGAGTTCAATTAATACTTTCTTTCAGAGACATGCTATCGCTGGCGGTACTGTTAGAAATATTCAAGCACAATTAGAATCTAAAAATAGTCATGAAGGTGGGGAATAAAACGAAATTTAAAATTATCCTCTTTTTTTTTGTAATAAATGTTTAATTTCATTGTTATTTTTTTTTATTCCTTTGTTATGTAAATTAAATTAATTATAATATTTTTGCTTTTTCTTGTAAATTTAATTGTAATTAAATTAAAAAAAATTAGAAAAAAAAACATTTCAAATGAATGTTGATATTATTATGTAAGTATGTACATAAATAAATACTTCAGAAGCGTTACCTAATATGTAAAATTGTAAATGTACTCTTAAAGCAATGCTTTAAAAAAGTATTGCATACACTTCGGATGATGAACCAAATATTATTTTGAGAGTCACTGATTACATAATTTCGTTAAGAAACTTGATTGTGCTTTAATATTTTAATATTGAAATTGGCTATGTTGAGAAAAAAAAGGATAAAAAATTTTTATTAATTAGAATTTTTTTAATTTCAATAGTATAAAATTATTTTATAAAAATTGTATAAAATGTTTATATATATTTATTTAAATTTATTTAGTCACCTATTTTATAAGTTTATTCTTATTTTACCTTATAGAAAAAATTGTAAATTTTAATTTTCAAATTAATTTAATTTTTAACTTAACTTTCAGATTGATGTATGTAATTATTTCCTATAAAAAAAAATAAATTGAATTTATTTTAATACTAACTTTCAAAATTTTTATTATTAATTTTCTTAGAATAAAACTGAGACTCCACACCAAGTAGCTGTAAGTTGACACCATTCTTGTTTTGGTCGCACTGCATTTACAACCGTTTTGCAATATAATGCATTATAACCAATCCACTTAGACCAATATCATAATATAAATTTCATATCTTTATTAAAGAGACTCGATTCTAAAAAATTTGATAAGTATTGCTAAGCGCAGTCTTTCAATTCTTATAAGACAAATTCATATTCAAAACGAATTCTTATTGCATTTTATATTTTATTTAAACGAGACGCACCCATTATTAACCAATTCATTTTAAATAAGATTATTTTTATATTAACCGTTTCGAAAAATTAAATGAGATATTTCGAAAATATAATAAAGCCATTATTTCAAATTTAGTTTTTGAAATTTTTACAAATGAAAAAGTTCTTTATTGAGCTCTGTAACAATAAGTATTATTACAAGTATCTTGAAGTATTTTATTGTAATATCATAAAAGAGCTATAAACTTTAAAAAAAACAAAAAACAATAACCATCATAAACCAATGTAAAATATTTCGAAATCAGAATTAAAATTAAAAGTCACATACATGGTGCCGTCATTAGATTTCTTTTCATTAAATTTGATAGTCTAATTATTTTTTTCATTTTAAAACTTAATGTAATTGCATTTAATTTTCTAACTTGTATTTCCTCATAGGGCGTCCGGTATTTTATAATCGGTTCAGAGTATTATTCTTTTAATAATTTTCAGAGTCTCTGTTCAGATGGTAAGTACTTTTGAATAAAAATAAATTATGAAACAAAAATCTCTTGGTCTTAATAAAAAGTATTCATTGATGTTCAAAATATTTCATTGACTGATTGCAAAGATCCATAAAGAGAAGTGAATAAATTTCGTCTGTACCTATAAAAGGAAGAGAAAATATAAAAACTTTAAAAGAAATGAAAAATCAATTTAACTTATATCCTTTAAAATTAAACTTTATTTCCTATTCTATTGTACAGTTTGTTTTCTAACTTTGATACATATTGGTAAATTTAATATTTAAAATTGAATTGAATATGAGAAAAAAAAATAAATTTTACGTTTATACAAAATAAAAATAATTATTACAGATGATAATGTAAAAAACCTTATTTCCACTTTAGAACTTCAATTTTATTTAAATTCTCGATTACAAAAAAAAATATAAATTTAAATTTTTTAAAATCATTTAAAATAAACTTTTGAATTTTTAAAAATTTAAAATAAAAGTAATGTTTTCGATTGATCAATTTTAATTTCCAAAAATTATTAATTTTTAACTAAAATGTTTTTTTTTTTCTATTTTTTTTTTACCAAAAAAAAAACTATCTTCTAGTTAAAAATTGTACATTTTGTGACCAAGAGCAAAAAGTAAAAAAAAAATCATTTAATACATCATTTAAGTTAAGTTTACCTTAACTTTGCAGTTCTTCTTTTAAAATTTGATTCATTTCTATTAAAGATCTAATAATTCAAAAATTTTAATGCATAATTTGAAAATTTTTCAATTAAAAGAAAAGGCTCAGCCTTGTAATCTTTCCTATTTAAAATCATTTGATTTTAAATCGAAAGAAATCTAAAAGTTGTATAACATATTACAAAATTTTTTATGAAAATATCTTAATTTTAATTATTAAAATAAAATATTTTTTATATTTTATGTTTACAATGAATTTTCATTTGTTTTAAATACTATTAAAATTACATAAATATTTATATATTATGTATGTATATATACAATAAAATTTGTTAATTTCAAGAAATTTTAGGATGCAGTTGATGTGTAATCACTAATTTTATATTTACACTTCGATATTATTAAAATTTCAATTTAAATAAATTTTTGTGTAAATTAATTATTTTTCCATATGTAATTTACATATTAATTTTACAAAATTAAAATACAAATATTGCAAAATTCCTGCAACTTAAAAAAATGTTTTTAATCCAAATCTTTTGAATAGCATTTTTATTTAAAAAAAATGTTATTTAAAAGATATGGTAAAATATAGTACAATTTAAAATAAAAAAAAAATTAAAAAAATTATAAATTATATTTTATCGAAAACATTAAAGTTTAACATTTAAAAATGTTTAAATTTAGAATTGCCTTTAAATTTTCGATTAGAGGCCGTTCAAAATTAATTTTTAAATTTTAAAAATTTTAATGAATGCAAGAAAATATGTATATACATATCTTTTTTGTTTAAATTTACAATCCTATAAGAAAATAAAAAAAAAATTAAGAAATCCTTTGAACCGTTTTCTTAAAAATTGATTTTCATAAAATTTAAATTTTGTAATTTAAACTTCGTATTTTAAATTTAAAAATTATTAAAAAACCTGTAAAATATCATGACTAATATTGTCAAATTTCCCGATATTGTCTATAATTTAAGTCTGTAAAAGAAGAGCTAAGCAATATTGTCCATAAATTTTGACAATCTTTTTATATTTTTAATTTTACTAAAACAAATTTCAAAAATAAGTCATAAATTGTTGAATTCAAATGTTAAACTGTTAAAATTATAATATGAAAAGAAAAAATTTAACATAAAAATTTAAAAGTTCATAATTACATACGAATATTTTGATCATGTCTTTGAAAAATTGTCCTGGTCTACATTTTATAATAATCATGTTTTATTTGAAATTAACAATAGTTCGAAATCTATTGATATTTATGATAAATGTCCAAATTTTTATTTAATTTAAAAAAAAAATTATTTTAAAAATTAAAAATAATTCAATGGATTTCTTTGTATTTACGAGTATGCAAGTTAAGAATATAAACAAAATAAAAGCCAAATTAAACTGAATGACTTAAATTCCAAGTTTTCAAATTAAAAATTGCAAAATTATCCCCAAATGGCATATTTAAATGAATAAAAAAAATTACAAATCGAAAATTAAATTTTTTGTTTTTCTTAATAAAAATTAAAATATAATTGTCACAATATTATCCAATATAAAAAAAAAATAATATGAAAAATCATTACTGCTTACCAGGAAAAAAAAAAGTTCTAATTGATATTGCTGCATAGTTTTTTTGTGTTTTTAAAGAAATTTTCATTTTTTCTCATTTATTTATTAAAAATTTATTTATTTCCACCATGTAACCAAAGATACGAAAAGGTTTATGAGAAATTTTTATTTTTTATATATTTTATTTTAATATATTAAAAAATTTCACATAAAGCGTTGCGTATCACGAATTTTTTTTTATCAATTCATAATCATATTAATTTTCAAAATTATTTACATACATGCATATGTAAATAATTTCTTTGGAAAATTAATATTAAATTTCATCCAATTATGAATTTTTAAAAAAAGGGTACATGTTCATATATGGAAAAAACAAATAAATTATTTTGTATGAAAATTGTATAAAAATTTCTTTCTTTTTCGTTTTTTTTCTATTTTTTTATATTTAAAATAAAACTTAAAAACTAAATGAAGCATAATGTGATTAACTCTAGAAATAAAAAAAAAAATCTTAAAAACTAATATCGCATTCTTAAAATAGGAAATTAAAATTAAAAAATTTTGAAAAAAAAAGTTTTTTTTTTTTATATCTACGATTTAATTTGTACAAATGGGGTAAGAATAATTTTATTATCGTTAATAATTATTATAATTTTTCATTAATAATTAAAATTTTCCAAAACTAAATCCAAAAAAAAAAAGCATTTTATCGCTATACGTACAGGGAGTAAGGATCGCAAAAAAGAAATTACCTTCTGTTTTCTCTTTAAAATTACATTTTTTAATGTATTTTTTTTTATGTAAAAATCAATGAAAGCAATTATTTTTTCGGAACCCTAAATTTTTCAAATATGTAATAATTATATACATATATAATCGAAATTCTAAAATACAAATTCTTAATATTAATTTCTTAGTTATAGAAAAAAAAAATTTAATGTTTTTTGAAATAGAATCTATTTCTTTCTAATTTTAGAAGATTCCCTAAAATTTAAATTTCATTGTACGCCAAATTCTGATCTTAATGATTTCGAAAATGAAATCTTCCACTAGTTCCGCTATCCTGCGCTGAAGTAGAAGAAGACATTGAAGATAATGTTACCGTTGATGTACGGCATGGGCTAATTGTACGTAATCTTTTTGAAGGTGGTGATAATTTTTTTGGTGTTGCTGATACCAGTCGTTTGCGTTCTTTCATATATTCTAAAAGAAAAAATTAAAAAAAAAAAAAAACAAATTAATTTATGTGTTTTTTAAATTAAACGTGTTAAAAAAAAATTATACTAAAAAAAATAACATTTGCTACAAAATCCAACATATTGTTTTTCTGCATTTTATAATGTGCCAATAAAATTTATATTTATAAAATAATAACCCCCATCATTATGATATGCTAATTAAATTCAACAGCTGGACAAAATATCATATTTTACATAAACGAATTCTACAATATTATTTTAGTATCTAGACCAACTTTAAAATTCTAATAAAGTACATAAGAGTATTCCAAAAATTAAAAGGTTTTAATATCATATTGCATTAGAAGGGACAACGAAATATTAGAAATTCATGAATTAATAATTCATTAATTTAGAAAAAGAAAACAAGATTAAACTAGCTAGTATGAATTTAAAATAAAAATAAAAAACAAAAATAATTAATAGGAGAAAAATTCAAATTTAAAAAACTTTTTTTTAATCCATTTTAGGGAGAACTTAACAAAGAATAAAAGAAATTTTTTATAAAAATAACCATAAAATTAAAATAACAAGCAAAAACAAAAAAAATGTCCCGTGCTAACCAGCTTTATCTTAACCACAATCAACAAAAAAAAAAAATTTATTTTCAATTTTTATCTATCAGATCTTTATTTTCTTTCAACGAATGAAGTGAACTCAATAAAAAACGAAAAGGGCTCATGTAATAACAAACCACATTTCCATTTAGATCAAAATTTATTTTTAATTTTTTCCTTTTTCCTTGTTCTAGTACCCATAAATTCATAAGGTTTGGTACTGTCAATATTGTCAGTGACATAACAACCAAAGAAACAAATGAAATGACTAGCTACTTACAACGGACCATATTGTTACAAAACTCTTATCCATTTTAAATTATGTTATTTTACATAAAAGTTGGAATATATTAAAAATGTTGAAGAAATTAATGCATGTTTTCATTTTTTTTTATATTCTGCATGATCTACAGACCAAAAAATTTATTCATATTCAATAATAAAAAATAAAAGACAAATAAAATACGAAAAATAAAAATACTTTTTTTTAATGCATTTTTCATAGTTTTTTACAAACAATTTCGTTATCATTAAATGACCATATAGAAGAGAACGTGCCTTTGAATTGAAACATTGTAAAAGAATAATGTTCCTGTAAACAATTCAGTAGAGTTTTATTTTGCTTTTACACAAATAAGTGTACATAAATGAGAAAAATTGATTAATTACTCATTTAATTAGAAAAACACTTATTTGGTGCACAGGAATATGAATTTTATATTTATTTGTTTTTAGTCATTCATTAGATAATTTTATTAAAATTTTTGAAGTGGAGACACTGATTGATAGGTCATAGACAATGTTTAAATTGTAATTTAAGTAATTTGGTTCCGATATTTCATATAAAAAATTATGGACTTTGAAAAAGGCAAAGAACTGAATTTAAAACTCCGTTTCACATTTTTACTATCTCCACGTTTTCACTTTCTAGAGTCTAGACCTCCGTTCTATTGTAGAATCGATTGAATGATTCTTTGAAAACCATATAAATCATGTAAAACAAGCTTCTGCTTGAAATCGACAAAGAAGGTAAGTCATTTGGTTTCTGCTTTAATAAATTCTGCAATTGTTTATTTAAAAGCTCTAGAACGTAGCTAAATGATTTAATAATATTAAGAACTGAACGAAACGTGAAATAAGACTTATGGTTCAGCTCTCTGGAATAAAATGGTCAGAATTTTATCAAATAGTTAAAGGCAAACAAATTATTTTTTAAATATAGAAATTTTTGCTTTAAATATTGAACGTTCGTTATATAGAAATTTCACTGTATCCAATAAAGATAAAAATAAATGATCATGAAAACTGAATTAGATTAAGTTTCATTTTAACCAAATATAATAGCAATTAGAGTAATATTATAAGTTAAATAGGAAAAATTAATAATATTTAAATATATTACTTATCATAAATACTGAGCTGAAAATTTATAACATGCCACTTTTATTTCAAAATGTATTAAAAAATATTTTCATGTTACATATATGGTGTAAAATAAATTTGAACTCACTGAACTGAATTAAAAATTAGAATGTAATTTTAGATTATTTACAACGATGTAACTAAATAATACATATTGAAATACATATGTATGTACATATGTGCGCATGCAAAATTTTCTATAATGAGCATACTGTAAAAATAATTAGATTTTCTTATTTCATATAGCGATTCAAATATGATGCAAGTATAAAAAATCATTTTAATATCGATAATCTAATAGTAAAATAATGTCTCATAAATTCAATTTAAAAGTTTATACTTAATATGTATCTAAGCTTAATCGGATTGGCAAACAGCATTAAGTACACATGTGTGTACAATATTGCAAAATGGAATAGGTACGAACTGAACTTGTATATGTTTAAAAAATTTAGTAGTGGTGATTTTTGTTCAACACTATAATGTGGTTTAGAGTTGAACTTACACTTGAACAGCTCGTAATGCTTCATATAAATACTCACACCTTCTCAAACTATCTACTACATATCAAACACGAAAAAAAAAATTATCTTTCAAGTTTTTTTCTTAGTTTTAAGATCAATTTTTGAAAAAAAGAGGTACAATTTATTCACTCATTTAAAAAAATTAAAATAAATAAGCGTAAGGCTTGTGTTGGCATGATTTCTTTTTTTTTTCTTTAAGATTTACAGTGCAGTCAAAACCGGTTTTTATGTTTTGTATTCTTTTTTACTAATCCAAACCTACATAATTTGAAAAAGTAAAAAGTAAAAACCATTTAAAAAACAAGAAAAAGTACAAAACCCAAGACACAAAACAAAAAACAAATCAAATAATCAAAAAAGAATACAAAAAGTCCCTACTGACCCTCTTTTTTTTCTTATTTATTTCTCTTTTTTATTTTCGATTTCCAGCTATGGTTTTGAATTTTAAAAAAAACAACTTGACTGTACGTACAATATTTCAATTTCAATAATAATAAAAAATAACGACAAACAAACATACTTGAACATAAAACATAAATATTTCTAAAAAGAATAAGGCAACATATAACATCATGATAAAGAAGGTACTCCAACTGAATGAGGGATTATAAAATAAATAAGTAAATAGTAGTGGTCATCGTCGTCGACTGATAAACTAAAAGCAAACAAAACCACGTTTTTAGATTTTTTTATAAAAGATAAAAAAAAATATCCCTACATCTATACCAACTAATTTTTATCCTGTCTCTCTTTAACCTATACACCATTTTGATATATTATGAGTAGGCATTAAATAAATTTATTTTTTTTTAACGCGTGCATTATTAAATTAGCTTTATGATATACAAAACCACCAAATGTTTGCCGATCCCTATTTTTTAACTATAAAAACGGAAATGTATGGATAAAATGCATAAAATACACGTAATATATCACGGTAATATATGAACAGCAGATGAATTTCCGGATGAAAAATTACAAAATTAAAATTTAGCTAATCCCTTGGCACATGTCTATGTTGATCTTACCACAAAAAGAACTAAGGCAGTCAAAAAATTTTAAACAATTAAAATTCAAAAACAAATTTTTTTTTTGGTTTTTTTTTGACAAAATTCTTTTGGCAATAACATTTTTTTCGTCCTTATTGTATCATAAATATGGCGTAGATCATAAATTTGGAATACATCACATAAACGGTGACTCATCACCACAATATAATATTTTAAATTTATGTAAGTAGTAGGTACCAAAACCAAAATTTTTATTAAAATTTCATTTAATATCATATTTCAAAACCTAAATAAACACAAGTCACTACGCGTACAAATATACAGTAAGGATAATGACCTAATGACTAGGTTTTGGAATTATACTAAAAATAGAGAAATTAAATTACCTTCGTCATACATTGCAATAACCAGTTAGTTATCGATAGAAAAGTGATACAAATATATTTTAGGGTTTCCAAAAAAAAAAAAGAAACCAGAAAATTTCTAAAGATAATAAAGAAAAAAATTCATGCTGCTTTATTTTTTTTTTCCTTTAAAATTTAAAATTAAATTCTCATTATTTAAAAAGTTTTTGCCTTTAAAAATATTTTCAAAATTTCATTATATAAGAATGATTTTTAAAATTCAAAAAAAAAAGCCAATATTACAAAACTGCAATTAAATCCTTTGGGATTTAAATGACAATTTTTTCAAAATAAATTAAATTACAATTTCATCTTCTCAGCATCTAGTATAAACACATACTACCACCGCTACTACAGAATGCAAAAATATTTTTTCTTTACCATCATTAGTTATCTCAAATTTTTCAAGTATGTCAAAGGTTATTAACGGTAAATTTTTATAAGAAAATAATTTGTTATTTCTAATCTTTCCCAAAAAAAAAGTAATAGAGTCGAAAAAAATATAGGACAAATTTGTAAGGATTTTATTCTTTCATTTTCAAAGAAAATTCCACTGAGACTAACAAAATCAGCAACAAATTTAAGAAATGAAAAATAAGTATTTTTTTTTTTTTTTTGGTAAATTATTAAAACTTATTATCACAGGATGTGGTCCTGAAAGCAATGACTTATTTCAAAATAGAATAAATATAACGCAAAAAAAAAAATAATAATAAACCGAACCTACTGTGAACTTGTGTTTAACCAAAAAGAAATATTGCATAACTTTATCTTAGACTCTGCAAATAAAATGAAATTTTTATTATAGTGCTTTCAAATATAGTGGTAAAATTGTAATTTTCTTATATAACAAGCATTCAACATGTTTATTTTGATTTTTCTCTTTATTTAAGACTTGTAAAAGTTTGTAATAATTATCATAAAATTATTCAAGTACATATATTCACTATAAGGATCGCAATAAAATGGAACCATCAATAAAAATAAATTTAATTTAAAGGTAAATGAAATTCAAATAGAAAAATCAGGTTTAAAAGTTAGAAAGTTA